TCCTTTTAACTGCTAGTGGGGGTGTGACTTGATTGGGTGGGGGCTTGGCTGTGTTCTGATTGGGTGGGGGTGTGTTCTTAGTGGTTGGGGGTTTGGCTGTGTTCTGATTGGTTGGGGGGTTGGCTGTTAAAAGGAAGAAGCAGTTAAAAGGAAGAAGCAGCTGCAAGCTCACATTACTCTGAGAAGCACAAGGCTGAAGACACAAGCCTGAAGATGATGAATGAGACTTCATCGAAACATCGCCTAAATACTTCCAATTCTACGTGGGAGAAAACCCAAATAACCAAAGATCCACATACAAATACCCGTGAAAACCTCAGTACACACACACACACACACACACACACACACACACACACAGCAGTTACACGTAAGCTATATTACTTTACAGTTTCTTGTTTATTATCATTTGGCATCTTTACATCTTTTCCTTAGCCATTTGAACCATACATCCCATATCCTGAAATATTCGTCTTCCTTGTTTTTCAATAACACCGTTAATCTAACCATCTCAGCACATTCATATATCTTGTTGATTATTGCTATTTCCGAGGGAGTCGTAGCCTGTTTCCAGTTTGGGGTGAAAGAAATCCTAGCAGCAGTTATAATATGGAGATATTGATATTTTTTATTTAAGCTAGGTTCTAACATGCCTAACAGAAAGGTTTCTGGTTTAAATTTGATCTTCTGTTTCATTAACTCCTTTAACCAGGATTTAATTTTGAGGCAGTACCTCTGTGCTTGAGGGCAAGTCTACCACATGAAAATATGGCTATCATTGCATCTCCAGCATTTAGCTATCATGTTGAGAAACATTCTGGCTAGTCTGAATTTATTTTATATAAATTCTCCTTACAGGAGACCGACATTGTTAACTTGTAATTTACTTGCTAGAAACGTTCCCATTGCTCCAGATCAACACTATAGCCAAAAATTTTTAGCCCAGGTTATCATATTTTCTTTAACCATTTCCTCCTCCATTTTATATTCCAATAGATAGTTGTATAATTTACTAATCATTTTAACCCCTTGTAATATTTTGTCTAATTCTTGCTGTGTTGTACAAAAAACAAATTGTTCCTTGTCTTTTTTATATCGTGTTTGAACCTGCATGTAAGGCCACCATCCTATTTCAATTCCTTGTGACTTTAATTGATTCTGTGTTTCTAATTCCGCTTTTTCATTTAGAAGTTCTTTATATTTTATCATTTTATTTAAATGTAGAGCGTTGGGATATATTAACGCTTCCATCGTTGATAGCCAGAGAAGTATTTTCACATAGGGGTTCTTTTTTAATTTCTTCCAAACATGTAATAAGATGTCTCTCACCCAGTGTCTTTGAAAATAAGTATGACACTTAACTGAAAGTCATAATCTTCTATCGTTAGTATTCTTCTATCTGTCAAATTAATCCAATTTTTAATCCATGTGTTTACTGCCGCCTAATAATATAGTTCAAAGTCAGGGAGGTCAAAACCTTACTTCTGTTATCTTGCAATAACTTATATTTTATCTGGGCTTTTTTCTTCTACCAAATAAATTTCGCTATTTTTTTAGTTTAAATCTTCAAAAAATTTCCTTCCTAGCTTGACTAGCACTGTTTGAAACAAATATAATAGCTTTGGTAAAACATTCATTTTTATAGTCACTATCCTCCCCAGCAACGAGAGTTGTATTTTAGCCCAATTGTCTAAATCTTTTTGAATTTGAAATATCAATTTATCGTAATTATTTTCTTTAATCGAACAGCATTTTGCCATAAGCCAAATCCCAAAGTATTTTAGTTTTTTCTAATTCACTTCCTAATTCTTCATTCTGCCTTTTAGTACATTTTTAGTTATTATTTTAGTCTTTTCCTTATTAATTTTAAGCCCTGCCACCTTTCCAAATGCTTCTATTTCTCGTATTAATATATTACTTGTTTCTTTTGGATCTTCTATAATGAATACCATATCGTCAGCAAAGGCTTGAAGTTTATACTCCTCTTTCTTGATAGCCAGTCCTTTAATATCTTGATTCTGACTTATTTGGATCAGAAATACCTCTGCAGATAGATAGATAGATAGATAGATAGATACATAGATAGATAGATAGATAGATAGATAGATAGATAGATAGATAGATAGAGATAGATAGATAGATAGATAGATATTCCTGCCTTACTCCTTTATTTATTTTTAAGCCATCCATGGTTTCTCCATTTAATATTATTTTTGCATTTTGTGTTGTATATATTGTTTTGATGAGTCCTAAATCTTTTTCACCAAATTGCATTTTAGACAGTTCAATGAGGAATTGCCAATTTAAATTATTGAACGCCTTCTGGGCATCCAAAAACATAAGTGCCTTTTGTTTGTTTTAAAAGTAATATTCTAGAACATCCATAATCAATCTTGTGTTGTTCTTTATCTGCCTATTTGGGAGAAAACCATTCTGGTCTGGATGAATGATGTCATTTAATAATTTTTTCAGTCTTTCAGACATTATTGTGGCTAAGATCTTATAGTTCACGTTTAGGAGCGAAATCGATCTGTAACTCTTAATTTGCTGAGGATCCGTTTGTTCTTTGGGTATAAGTGTTATAAGTGCTTCCATCCATGTCCGTGGGATTTTGGTTCGTTCTAAGGCCTCATTTATATGTCCAACATTAATTCTTCCAATAAATCCTGAAATTCTTTATAAAACTCCACTGGTATTCCATCTGGCCTTGGAGTTTTATTAGTTTTTTGTTTCCCAATTGCGTCCTTCACTTCTTTTGCAGTTATTTTATTATTTAGCATATCCTGTGGAACATCCGATACTATAGGTAGGTCTCTTTCTTCAAGGTACTGTGTGATGTCCTCATCTGAGATTTCTTCCTGAGTACACAAGTTGGCAAAAAACTTTTGGGCAATCAATTTTTTATATCTAACTGAGGACACAGGCTCCCATTTTCATCTTGTAGCAGTAATATTGCTCTTTTCTCCTGTTCCTTTTTTAACTTATGCGACAGCCATCTCTCTGGTTTATTTGCACTCTCAAAATAATTTTGTTTTACCAATTTCCATTTCCTGGCCATTTCTTCTTGTAAATTTAAATTAATTTCATGTTTCACTAGATCCATTTATCCTTTGATTTCCTCATTATGAGGATTTTTGCATTTTGGCTTCCAAATTTTTCACTTTTTCCTGTCTTTCCATCTGTTGTTTCCTTCTTTCTTTTTGCTACATAAGCTATTGTTAAGTCCCTTGTATAAGCCTTTGTTGTATCCCACAAATTTTGTAATGTTGTCTGTTCTTTCAATTTGATTTCAAGGAATACTTTTATTTATTTTTTACCATTTGAGTATATTCTTTATCTCTTAATAAATTTTTATTAAAGATCCATCTCCCAGTCTTCCTCTTTACTCTCCATTTCATTTTAATTGCATTATGATCAGCCCAAGTATTTGGCAGAATTTCCATTGTCTCTACATTTTCCATTAATCCCGAATTCCATCCATATCATGTAAATCCTAGACCACGATTTGATTGGGCTGGGGAAAAAAAAGGTAAATTGTTTTTCAAATAAGTTTAATTCCCTCCAAGTATCTTTCAAATTCAATTCTTGTATCATTCTATCGAACACTATTGGAAGTGTTGTTCTCTTTTTTTTATTCGCCCTACTACTTTTGTAATCCTTTCCTATATCTGACACTGCATTGTAGTCTCCTACTATATACACATTCACTTGTTCAGTCTCTATGATCTTCTTATGGAACTTACAATAGAATTCTTTTTGGTTTGTATTTGGGGCTTATATTGTTACCAACTGGTAGCATCCTTCCATCCTCATCATTGTAAATTTGCCTTGGGTTTAGCCAATCAGGGCCAGATGTAATTTAGCTAATTTGGGAAATTCTAAAACATTTCTATGTTATTTTGAAATGTGGACTTCTTGCAAACATATGATATCTACATTTTGTTTTGGGAGCTTTGCAAATACCTGTTTCCTCTTAATTGATGTGTTTAACCAATTTATATTTACTGATCATAGGGCAGTCCCTCCATCCATTTTACTGTTTGTATGTAACAACTCTTTTCTTCTTCTAAGTTCTCTATGCAGCCTGTTGTTTTCTTCCTCCTCTCGACTCTTCTGTTCTCTTAATTCCCATTCTGTCTCCTTTTCCTCAGACATTGGCTCCTCTTGACTTCTACTCTCCATTTTCTCCCTACTTTCTTGTTCCTCCTCCATTCCCAAGTAGTGCTCATTAAACTCATGTGCCTTGTCCAACATATCAATTTTAAATTTCTTTTCCTGCCAGGATATTAAAAGTCCTTCAGGGGTGAGCCACCTGAACGGGATCCTGTTTTTAATCAATTGAGATTGATAGTTCCTCTATTGGTAGTTCCTCCTTTGCTCTCTGACCCTCCTGGGTATCTGCTTCAGAGTCACCACCTCACTACCTTTATATATTAATGGCTCATCCCTTGTCCTTCCATATAGCAGTTCTCTGGTTGTTTTCTTTGCAAAGCATATGTGGACCTCTCTTGGAAGTTTATGCCTACGCGCATAATGCTGTTTACTCTGTACACCTCATCTATATCATTCCAGACCTCTTGCTTGTCTTTCTGGAGGGCATCCGCTATCAAATCTGTCATGAGTGTACATAGATCTTATTTTCTATCCTCAATGACATTCTGGAATTTGAGAAAAAAAAAAGCTGCTTTTTCTAGTTCTAAATGAATCACTGTCTCTTGGAGTTCATTGTACAATACTTTCCAGTTGTGTTCAGTCTCTACTAACTTCTTTTCCACACTTTCAGTTTTGAGTTCCATCATTGTCAATTTCTGTTCATTCTTCACCACCGACTCTTGCATTGTTCCAATTTTTTCATCTAATTTCTGTATATCAGTTTTCACTCCTCCTATATCATTCATTTCACTTTTCAGGTCCTCATGATTTTTCTCTATGAGTTCTTGTGACCTCACCATCATCTCCTGCATCATATTTAAAGCTGACTGTTACAGTCTGCAAGGTTAAGGTGGATCCTGATTTCTCTGCACCCAACATAGTGTCTAGTGATCTTTGTCCTGAGGTGAAAGATATACTCACTGTCACCTTCTTTCAATTTTTGTGGTTGTTGTTGTTGTTGTCATTTTCAGGATCCTTAACAAAACTTTCCTACCATCAACTGGCACGTTTAGAACTACCCCTCATTGTCTCTTATATCCTGCTTAGTATTTCAATCTTTCTCTAGATTATCTCCTACGTTATTCCTTAAAATGTTAAATATGTTCAATATTCAATATTCACTAGTAGCAAATACTCAATTAATTGTTTAAATAATAACCTACCTTAACTCTATAATTGTAATTCAATATCCAATATAGGTTCTACTATTTGATTGTCTCTAATAATCAGTGATCAATAATAAATAAACATTAATTCCTCTAATAAATATAATTAATTCATCAATTAATAAATCTTAGAAAAAACATTTAAAGAGTTAATCATATTATATAAATTATTCATCTATAAATATACCATCTATTTTCTCCAGTTATAAATATAATCTATATTATTTACACAAAAAGTTAAACAGAGAAAATGGTAAAGTATCAGTGTTAGTGCTCATCCACATATATTTAACACACTGTTATTCAGTAATCAGTTTTCAATATTAATCTTTAAATTAGTATAATATGTTATATAATTATTGTATTTATTGTATGTATGTATATATTACATGTGTTGTTCACAGAGCTTCAGGTTTTCTTTACTCAGCTACTTCAATATGTCTTCTCTTAAAGTGCAGACTCATCATGGATCATCACTTTCACTTCTTTCTCACTTTCCTGTCAACAGTATTTCCTGTTGATCTCTCTGTCTCAGTAACCACCAACAAACAAAGTTAATGCTCAGTAATCATTTCTCTCCTGTCCATTCCACCATCCACAAACTCCAGAAAAGAAAATTGTCTCCTCTTCTTTCTCCCTCCTGGACTATTGCCTGTCAGTCTCTCAGCACTGTTATTCAGTCACTTAATCCACCATATAAGCTCCTACCGCCAAATCTGCCACTTACTTCTGTGTCTCAGTTAGGAGCCTCTCTCTTCCTTCACTTCAAAAAGTCTTTTTTATACAGGTACTTTCCTTTTGTCTCACTCTTCACTGTTACTTGTGTTGCTTTTTCAATCTTAGCTTCTACCATCGATCGGTCAGGCAGCCACGTCTCCGGATCAAGTCGTGAAACTGATCTCTTTCGTGCCTGTTTTCGGGACTTTCCCTTACAGCATTTGGGAAGCCCAGTTCTCCCCAATACCTCCGAGTCTTCTCCTCTCTATTGCCAACCCCTCCAGGATCCAAGTTAACCCTTACAGGCTACCGATCATGAAACTTTGGGCATTCAGAACAGAGCTCCCTTCATCTGCACCTCTTCAGCGTGGCACCACAACCAGAAGTCATTTTACAATAAATCTTTTAATGCATGATGGCATTATGATCCTTACAATTTCTTAAACTGATCTTTTCTTAACAAAATTTCAGATTTTTGTGCAAAATTAATTTCAAGAAACAATTACTATTTTACTATTATAATAAAATTGTATCAGTGTCTGTAGTATGAATTATATTTTTTAAATTCAGTTTTACATAAACTTACTTTCCCTCTAATCTTTAGCAGAGATGCTACAGGACTTCTTTCAAATGAAAGTTATGCAAGTAGCCCAAAATAGTAAACCAATCATCTTGAAGCGAATCCTTTTAGCAAATGCCAAAAATTAAGCTATTACTACCAGACAGTAAACAACTTGACATTTCTACATATACATTATAATGGAACAAGCCAGATTAATACCACTGTCTTTCCTTTCTTTTTTCCTTCCTCTCTTTTGTCTTCAATGCAATTTATCATGCTAACCACTGATGTCAGAATGTGTTGAAACTGTGCACACCAGGATTATTGTGCTGTAAATAATACCTTTCTGCTGTAGTTAAATGTTATCCTTCCAGCAAGGCAATCTTTTCATAGCTTACTTGTTCTTTGTGGTTAGACATTTTTCTTGGCTATAGCTGTCATGTGGGAGGCTGTTTGAAAAGCTTCCAAATTAACCGGCTCTAGAACTGAATTATACAGCATACATTAATAGAGAGGGAATAGTATTGCATACGTGCATGTAGGTTTTATATGTTTTATAGATCCAATTTAAACACAGATGTTCAAATGTGAATCACTTTTCCAATCTTATGTTTAATTGACATTCAGTGGAATTGGCCAAGTTATTGTCACATAATGAATAGCTAGTTACACAAACCTCATATTGCAGTACCTCATTGTTACCTTATTTCCTAGGCTTATTAAGTACATTTTCAATATAGAAGATAATTATTAATTTATAATTATGCACCCATATTTATCTGTGATTTCCTATTCCTTGGAAAAAAGTGAAAAGCTTATCAGGCCTTCTTTTTGGGAAAGAAATAGATAAGGAACTATGGTTGCAATAGATAGCACTACCTCAGGGGTGTCGAACTCAAGGCCAGAGGGCCGGATCTGGCCTGTGGGATGCTTAGATCTGGCCCATGGGGCTGCCCTAGAAACAGCAAAGGACCAGCCCACTCTGCCAGTGAAAAAGGAGCTCAAGAGGGCAGCCCTCTTGAGCTCCATTTTCGCTGGCAGATGGTTGCAGGACGCCATTACAGCTGAAAACAGAGCTTATGAGGGCCGCACATTACTCTCCCGAGCTCTGTTTTCACTGGCAGAGTGCTGCAGGGCGTCATCATGGCCAAAAGTGGAATCCACAAGGGCTGCATGAGGCCGTCCCGAGCTCTGTTTTTGCTGGCAAAGTGCTGCAGGAGACCATCACCAGAAGTGGAAAATAGTGGGAACATATAATTAAGAAAACAGTCAAAATGAGCAAGTTAAAATATTATGAGATTTCTGAAAATGAACTAATAGACTAATACCTCAGCATATAACAGTGATTTAACTATGGCTGGGGAAAAAAGTGGATAATTGATGTGGCAATCCCAGGAAATTGAAAATTGTAAGACAAATAACTGGAGAAGATCATAAAGTATCAATATCTGAAAATTGAATTTGAAATATTATGGCATAAGTTTTAAATGTAGAAAATCTGTGCATTAATAAGATTTTCACCTGTCAATTATAAAAGACCATGCTGCTTACATCTACAAATATATTATTAGGATATCCAAGGTTCTTGAAAGAACCCTGTATGAGATTTGTATGACAGCCAACATCATTTAAGGAACTGATAACTGAGATTTCACAATGTGTGTATATAATAATATTTTAAAAAATTGCAATAATTCTTTTGTATAATTCCTTTTTCCTAGGGAAAATCGGTGATTTTTTTTAAGCCTGGGGATTTTGTTTTTCCTATACAACTGCTACATTAGGCATTGTTTTTCTAATACAACCTGAAGTCAGGCAAGCCAGCTGAATGACTATGGGTGAGTCTGTCTCAGCACAGCCCACCTCAAAGGGGCTAAAGGGGATGTTCACTGTCTTGAATTACTTATAAAGTAAAGATGCGGTAACTTTTTAAAATAACAATAGTACCCAAAGGTGGGATTTTTTTAAAAAAACCTGATTAATAACAATGCCCAAATTGGCTGCCCTAGAAATGTTCCGATCAACTTTCAAAAAAGTGTTTAAGTTACCATAAACGTCAGCTGTACGTTTAATCACGCACAAGGCAGGAAGGGGATCCTTACCACCGAGCGTAACGTCAGGAAATGCTTTGACACTTCCTGTAAAGAAAAAAAAACCGCGAAAGCCCAGTCGGGCCGTCACGTGGATTGACGGTTGATGCGCGGAGAGGAGGGAATTTCCATGGCAGCGCGCGACTATTTACAGTCAGTTACTGTTAGAGGCAGCATCACTAATCCCGTAAGAGTACAGAAGGTCCCTATATCAGAAAAAGACTCTTTTTACCTATTGTAACGTTAATTCATGATTTATGACCTCAACCGATATAACCGTCACCTTCCCTCTTCACCTTTGTCATCAAACTCTCCAGTTTCCTCCGCCTCGGTGACGCTCCCTCCTCCCGACAGCCTTCTGGCCTCCTGAAAGGAAAGCCCCGCCTCGAAGGCCGTTGCGCATGCGCTATAGGGCCAGCCGGGTTAAGGTTAAGGCTTTGTAACCGCCGCCATCGCGCTTAGGCTGTTTTTGAGCTGTTTCCGTTATGCCGAAGCTGAGCAAGGAAGCTAAGCAGCGACTGCAGCACCTCTTCAAAGGTGGCCAGCTGGCCATCCGTTGGGGCTTCATCCCTGTGGTACTTTATTTAGGTCAGTGCGGAGGGGGAGAATCGGTCTTAAAGCGACGCCCTGCCAAAAATGACAAGGATCTCCGTTACCCGGCTGAGCCACCTCTGTAGTCCTTTGCGGCTCAGATGGGCCTCTGTAATCGTTTCTTGCAACACAAGGAATGGGGAGTTGAAGTCAAAAGGATCCTTTTCCCCGATAGTTATTGTTGCTCCCTTCGAATTAAATTTGCAAGATAGGTAGTCCAATCGGTTTCCTTCCAGGCAGCACCCGTTGACAGAGGCTTTTTAAAAGAAGAATGGCAACTTTGGGGTATGAAAGAATAGAAACTAAATGGTAACAAGTTCGGTTTATTCTCTCTTTGAAATGTAATGGAAAAAATCTTAAAGACAAGCCAAATAATTAACAGAATTAGTGCCCAACAAAAAAACAGTCCTGATGCTTACACTTTATAGGATGTCTGTAAAAAGAAAATAGATCAAAGAATGGAAGGATTTACAGCACATCTCTGAGGTATTGACTTTCTATTGCCAGTAATAGTTTGAGTTAGTATTCTGCCTTAAATCAAATGTGCCATCCCAAGATCTTGTTACTGTAGAATAGTTACTTGTGGAATATATACCTTATTTGAGGGAGAGAAAGGGTGTTCTCTTTTGTTTATCTCTCCCAATGGCACTTTTCTGGATTGACTTGAATTATTTTATTTTTACCATATTTGTTTTACTATATATGGAATGTCTATTGATCAAAATTGCAGTGAAATATGCAACCAGTTTATTCATAAGATTTCTGTCCATGTATCCATATATATGCCATATATACATAAAATAACATTTTCTACAAAGATTTTCATCTTGTTTAAGATCAAGGCTGTTGAGAAAGATGGCACATGGAGATAATTATTTTCATATACAGTTCTGCCCGTAATCTTTCAAGGAATTGCTTAATGGTGGAATGGAGTACAATTGTAAAAAAACAGCTAATGGATGTCTTACAGATATTCTGCAAGAAAATAAATCATACAAATGCAGTTTTGCATATTTTTAAACTACACATAGTAAATTCAGAGTTTGAGCTTATTTTCTGGAAAAATAACTGAAAGATAGAGTGGCCTCCTTTGGATCCTAATTTATATTTGTTGGAATATTTTTTCACAAGCTGTGACTGGGTTTACATAACCATTATGTAGTTTTGTGAAACAATAGAGCATTCAGTAAACTCTGGTCTAGTGCAGGGGTCCCCAACCACCGGTCCCCGGACTGGTACCGGTCTGTGGATCATTTTTTACTGGGCCACAAAGCTTGGGCGCTGCCATCTTGTTTCGAAGGCGCTTCCGGGTTTTCGGTTGCTTCCGGGTTTTCAGTTGGAAAGTGCTTCCGGGTTTTCAGCTGGAAAGCGGCATTTGGGTGCACGTGCCTTAGTTTCGTCAAAGGGGCGGCGGCTTCGAATGAAGAGCCGTCACGATGGCGGTGGAGTCTCGCGTTACTCAGGTACAGGTCCGTGGAAGAATAAATAATCGTGAAACCGGTCCCTGGTTCAAAAAAGGTTGGGGGCCCTGGTCTAGTGTATGAATAAATCCAGCCTAACAATATATCTGAATGAAGCCTTGCAAAAGTGTGAATGAGAAAGGAGTGGAAGATGGATGACAAATGAATGATGATAAAACAATCCAAAGAGTTGATTTTTCCTGCTGTTGCCCATATTTGAAACATAAGTGTGGATATGGAGTATACTATAATGGAATTGTACTATCAGTTTGTGTCCTCATTCACTGATTCACCTAAATAATAGTTATTGCAAAATCAAAGCTTACCTGTACAAATTGTTTGAAAATGGTTATAGAACCATTTTAGAACACTTGCTGGTCTAACTTAATACTGCTTCCAGTTCTAATTACAATCCATTCTTGTTATGTGTGGTAGTTATGTTCTATGAAATAAGAAATAGAGGACTGACAGTATGAATGCTGAAACAAGAAGGCAAAGTATTTGTCTAGTTTGATCTAATCTGGGACCATGCACACTGGGTGAATCAGATTTTTTACCATTCTGAACATGTTTGTAAATGACTGTGAAAGCATTTTAAGTATTGATTTATAACAATAAATCATAATGAGGATTGACTATAGTGTACCTATTAGTAAGCGATTTCTGAGATGACATATCCTATAGAGTCTTTTTTTCTCTAATAAATAAACATTCCATTTTAATAGGAAAACTGAAATCCTAATCTATATTTAGTACTTTACGTGTAAATTAAGCTTATATCTGCTTTTGTGAGATAAGTGGATAATAGTGGGAATCATGAGAGAAAGAAGATTAAAGCAAAAAGCAGAGTGAATGAGTATTTGCTCCTAAATGATTACAAAGATAATTGTATATTTGTATAATAAATGTATGATTCATATTTAAACAATAGGTATATTCTGGGTAACAGTTTTACAATATACATTAAAACTACTAGTTATTGAATCTGGATAAAGAATTATATTTAGATGAATTTTTACTAAAATTCCTTTCATTCTCATTTTCATGTAACTTTTATTAATTGTTTATGAAAAACTTAATGCTGGTTTGAGAAAAAGATAATCTGTTTTAGTATATTGCTAGAATATTCAAAATTTTCAAATGAGAGGATAAAGCAAGCAAATTTAATAAATATTTTTATTTTGTTGGCAGTACATGTTTTTTGCAGTCTCACTAAGCAAATAGCTTAACTTGCTAGTACTTAAGACAGCTCTTTTCCTGCTTCTGCTCAACAGCAAATAAAATCCTATTTATTAGTAAAAATAGAATCTGTTCATGGTTATAGATATAATGACAAGAGGTCTTTTAATATTCTTCATTCCCACATAGATATGTCTTGTTAAGCATAAAATAGGAGGATTCATACAACAAGTAAGCCACAATATTTGAGTTTGGTCACTTGTTAAATGCAGTATGTGAACCTAATCTATGGAATATGGGAAAGGTACAAGATAGTGATGCATTCAATATAATCTGTGGTTAATTAACCAACAAATATATTTTATATTATGTAAAGAAGGCCATTAATATTTTCATAAAGTTCACAATTTTTTTATTGTAAATAGGTTTTAAGAGAGGTGCAGATCCTGGAATGCCTGAGCCAACTCTTTTGAGGTATGTGATTATTTTTAAACCTCCTGTAAAGTACAGTGGGCTGCAACATATATTACCCATGGATTGTTTTATGAAGTTCTGTTATGTTCTGTTAATGTAAAATTGTATAAAGTTTTATTAACTTCACATTACCTAAAATTTTGCCTTGGCACCTACCTTACGAATGAGCATGCCCCTGAAATCTCAGGGACTCCCATTCTGATGATATTATGGAGAGCATTAAAGCCCTTTTGCCAGGCTCTTGTTAGGGTAACTGAAGCCCCTTACCCATTATGTGATAAGTCTTTCTGTATTGCTGGCCAGATTAACAAATTGGTTCATTTATGGAATAGTTTTATTTTGTCTTGTTAGTAGCTGTCTTATACTAAAGCCACTCAGAACCAGTATCAGTAACATCTACATTGGATAAATAAAATAAAAATAAACTTAAAACTCTATACTCCTGGATAGACATAAGATAAATAATCTGCAAATATTAGTTAACTTCACTGGTAAACACTTTGCTAATTAAAAAATACTGGAAAAAAATAATATAAAACATATGCTTGTGATTACTAATCCTATGATTTATTTTAATTGCTAGATTATAGAATTTCAGGAAAAGTATTTGATAACACTGCTTCTATATTTATGATAGAAAGCATTACATTGTAAAGCTACTGATGTGAGCTACATTTTCACCAGTACATAAAAGAATTTTCACCTTTGGAATTATAAAAGTTATCTAAAATCACTAAAACTTTTTATCAATTTTATTATTATAAAAACAATTTGCAATTTAGTACAGCCTATGGTCTACATGTTTAAAACTACTATAATTAAGTTACATTTTATTTCATTTATTTCAAATAAATCTTCACATGGTAGTCTATTCAATTTTATATTTTGTCATATGCCTATGATATTTTAAATATGCTGCATATAATCTGTTAAATTTGAAATGATAGTTTCTGTGGAATATTAATCTTACCTCAGATTTAAATAATTTAAAATGATTTAACAGACATGTAGGTTTTTTTCTCTAAATTATCAATGATCAAATTGAGTCCTTAATTCAGAAAAAGCTTCATTTAAATTAATATTAACATGCTCATAATTGTGTAAATTGAGTTTATATTTAAATTGTGTATAGAAGCATGAATTCAGCATACTTAAAATATACCTGGCATTTGGTTTAAAAAATAAAGGTTATCACACATTTGTTTTTTCTTCTGTTTAATTATGTCTAATTCTTCAAAGTTACCAAGACAAATCTCTGCAGTTTTCTTGTTGAGGTTCTACAGAAATGGTTCCTAGAGTTGAGAGAAAGTGATTTCCTTACAGAAACTTATACAGTGTCAACATTCATCTAGTCCAGGCTTGTCCAACCTTTCACCTTCCCTGGGCCACATTAGAAGATGAAAATTTGGTTTGGGCCGCACATAAAATAAAATAACAGTAACGATACCTGATCATCCAAAAAAACCATAGAAAACATAGTTAACATATTAAATTTATTTGGAAATGAAGTTAGTGAGATGTTTGACATTGTTTCTCAGCCACCAATGCATCCATATTTGCTTCGATGGAACTTGTTGCAATTCTCAGTGAGTGCTCAAGGTGCTCATCAGATATTTTGGCTCTGATGGTGCCTGCCTTTTCTGTTGCTGCTTGGCGTGGCGCTCGCCTCGACCCGCCTCGCACCTGCCTCTCCTCCTCCTCCTCCTCGCTGGCTCGTCCTCTTGCACGAAGGTTGGGGTGGGCACTGGGCCGCATTACCAGCTGACCTGGGCCGCATGCGGCCCATGGGCCGCGGGTTGGACAAGCCTGATCTAGTCAATTAAAGTGTAGATCAAAAAGTTAAAAAAAAAGTTTAAAAGGTGCAGTTAAAAACAAGGCATGTTTAAATAAACAGCTGAGAGGAAAAGATGGAAGACCCCCCCCCCCCCATATCCTCCAATTGCACCTACCTTGAATTGCAATCTTCAAGATCTCTCTTCTCAAAGATCATCCAAGGGTTGTATTGGGTCATTCCTAATTGCTCCTATTCAAATCTGGGGGCCAAACAGCTAGCTTTGGCAGCATAATCAAGTGTTTGTCAACAGAAAAAAAAGATTGCCTGCTTCTTAGCACATAATCTTGGAGATGTCTACATGCTTTATTATGCTCGCTGTCTTAGAATAATAAAGGTTTGATAATGTATATTCCCATCGTTTTGAAACAAAATGAATTCATTGGAAGTTACTTAGAAATCACATAATGCTACAGTGATTAAGTTGCTGGACATGGTATTTACATATTGTAGCTGTTTCAATCTCACTGATAGATTTTATTCTTTTTTCCCCTTCTAGTCTACTTTGGGGCTGAAGGAATTAATCAATGTATTTTGAGAGTATGCTTTTGAAGATGGATACATTCCGGAGACTAGAAGGATACTTACGCAATTTTACTGTCCAGCTGTTTTATCTGATAACATGTAAATGACACTTTTGTTGGTGTAATGTATTTATCACATTTCTACTGGAATAAATATTTCGATTTTAAAAATTATATTGAGGCAATCTAATGGATTTTTTTTCAGAATATAGCATGCTGTGTGTCTCATCTGTTTCAAGATGGGTGGGTTTATTTAATCAACTGTCAAAATCACTGATGAATTTGATTGAATCTTGCCTTTATATTAATTAGAATCTAAAATGTTAATTTTTTTTCCAACATGGGTTGAGAGCAAGGTCTTAATTTTAATACCTGAAGGAAAATAATGTAATATATAATACTTTATATCTGTGCTTCCAAAACTTGGATAAATTACCCAAAATTGGATAAAATTGTTTTTTCTTTAGGTAATACAGAAACTACCCAGTCACAACAGGGACATTTAAATTGACTTAAAGTATTTTATCTATATTAACCAAAAAGAAATTTCTGATAAGCATTACTGGGCAATAAAGGGAAAAGTTTGGGAAGTGCTACCTTAAGCTAATATAATTGATTTCAGTAATGTTAACAAGTCCACTGAACTCGTTTGAGAATCCTAACATAATCCTTGGCAAAATTATTGACTAAAGAAATTTTTGATTTTCTGGAATATTGGAAGTTGTGGCATAAGTCTAAATGATTAAATTTCAAGAAAAGTTATTTTTTTCTGATCTTTCCACCTGTGTAGCATGAGTGCAGGCCAGGCTCAAACAATTTAATAAAGAGAGGCCAACCTGATAAATAAAAATAATGTTAGGTCACAAATAAATATTTGGCACGTTAATCTCTACATTTAGCGCCTAGCGAGGATGTAGTAACACTGAAGTTGATAGCAGACAAGAGGCCCAGAGGTCTTTAAACCAGAAACTATTGCTACATGGATAAAGTTACTTGCAGATTATATAAAATTGGATAGGATATCTGTTATCCAAGGGATAGAAATATTTGTACTGAACGTGAAGAGCTTGTAGAAATTGGCTAAAAATAACAAAAGCTTAAGCCAGATTGTGGATAGTTTATGAGCCAAAAATTTAATGTGGCTGCAAGAAAGAGTAATTTTACTCTGCATTAACAGAATATAATTGTTGGCTGCAAGAACTAACGATTCTACTTTATTTTATATTGGACATATTATGTTTGGTACTGAGCACTACAACCTGAGGCAGATTCAATCTTGGAACATGTTCTGTGAATGGTAATGGAGCAGGGGACTAGAAATCAAAATTATGAAAAAAGATTATAAGAAAAGATTGTAGGATGATGGGATATAATAGCAGTCTTTAAATATTTGAAAGGATGTCACGTAGGAAAAGGTCAGGACTAGTTTTTTCCCTTCTGAAATATGGGATAATAGATTTAAATTACAGGAAGGTAGATTTTGATAGAATGTTATAAGATAAAAAAAAGTGCTGTTTCAAAGTGGAAACAATTACCAAGACAGATAATTTGTTGCTTTCAATCAACTCTGTCATTCTATGAAACATCTATTGAAATAGTTCCAGCATGGTTGAATGAAAACAGGTTTGGCAAAAAATTATTTATCCTAGATAGTTGGTGACTACAAGGCTTCCTTTTGAATGTCACTTTTGGAATGACAATGTAGCATAAAGGACTTAATATTTAGAATTTCAAGGTGTAAATGGTATAGGTCTGCAATATAATTGCCATGCATTGAGATAAAGTTTGCGTCCATTATAAACTTGCAGGATTTTTTTTATTTTAAAAAATATTTTAATATATTAAATTGATTCATAAAAATATAATTATACATTATCTAGTAAAGTTAAATTAAGTTGAAGTCAAATTATTAAAATATGTAATAAATATATTAAATACCATAAATAAGTTATATCAATATCATAAATAAGTATACATCTAAAAAATAAATTCTCTCAGGAGAACAACCATGACATCTGTTTCAGATGTGGATATTTGATATGTCTCATTTCAAGCATTCAGGCATTACAGTTAACTCATTATAGAAGGCGAATAACTCTTGAAGTGGTCTCCATAAATAAAGTAAAAGCTTGAAGAATAAAGTGCTTGGTCACTATCATATTCCAAGCTCTCTGTTCTCTTAACTTTGCAGCAAGAGTTTTCTGAGTGTCAGGAAGTGGCGTGATCACAGTCTCAGGATTGTTCATCTGTTAAAGGGAGGGAAGAAGAAACAACATGATTATTTTTTTGTGTGCAAGAATGTTTTACACATTTAATCTAGATATTACACTTGTTACAGGCAAGAACTTTCATTTTGGTATTTGGTAATTATATTTTATCTACATTATGTTAATTGAGATATTCTCACTATATTATTTAATAATAAAAAAGCCAATTAATGCCCCAATGTGGTTAGGACACCAGGCAAGAAAGGGGTAATTGTGAGTTCAAGTCCCGCCTTAGCCTAAAAGCCAGCTGGATGACTTTGGGCCACTCACTCTCAGCCCAACCCATGTCACAGGATATTTTGGGGAAAATAGAAAGAGCAAGGTTGAATATGTTCACTGCCTAGTCTTATTTATAAAAATAATAAAGAATATAAATAAATAATATTAATCTGTATTGTAACCAATGTAGCAGTTATGCCCATTGTCATGATTAGGCCAGCATTCCTGTGGCAGCCATTTTGAGAGTGAAAAATCTTTAATTCAAATTTGCCCATTAGAGATTATTATAGCAACTAGGCAAAGCAAAGGTTAACAATGGATTTAAGAAATCATTAATTAAAAATATCCACAACTTTCTGTATTCTGATAACATGCATGTTGATCAAAGTGATTATATATATCCCAGAACTTAAGATTTGTATATTAGATAATGTTTCAATTCCAAGCATTAACAATGAACTGAAGATATGTCGCCCTGCTGGTTCTGCCAGGCTTTTATATTTTTCAGTATCAATACCCTAACAGATCACCAGTTGAGGTGAGACACAGATGCACTATTTATGATTGCCAGGGAGCTCCTGTAGCACTTATTGATGCCATCAGAATGTTGAGGATTGAATTTCAATAAATCACTTTAATAAATCAGTCAATAAAAATACAGCTATTACTATTATATAGCAGAACAAGTGTGCAAGATCAAATGTAAATATTGCTTACCATTGACTTCAAGGTTTCTGCCAGGTGCTGTGCTCCTGTTGATATAGAAACACTACTTTGTGTAGTTTCTTCTATATATTCCAAGAATGTTCTGAATGCATAGAGGCCACTTGAAAGTTTTCTTAGACAACTTTCCTAAATAAATGAAAAGAAAAGTTATTGCTGTTTCCAATAGATCATTAAATATTGTACAGTACATTCAATTATATCTAAATGTAATTAACTACATATTAAATGAATAAAATAATATATCCAAGCTGAGCAGACAGAGAAATTAGGTTTTGGAGAAACAGATCCATAGGTGTTCTCTTAAGCTGTGAGTAGATAAGATTGCTTTGGATCTCCAGGATTTAAAGCCCCCTCTCTTCCTCAAACATGGATCTGAAATGGTATATCAACTTTTATATATAATTTATTTTTGTTTCCCTGTTATTCTGGTTGCTGAATGACACAGTTGTTTGAAGTATTTATGAGAGGTTTGCTCTGCTTAGTACAAAATGTTTAAAAAGATATTTAAAAAACACAAATCTTTCCAGTGTATATTGATATTCTACTTGCCTTTTGGAATCCAGGCTGGTAGCATCCATCTTCTTTAATTATCCTTGGAAGGTTAAGATTATTTTGTGCCATAATTTCCATTGTACCTTTACATGCGTTTTGCTCCGTGCACAGCTGGTAAAACATAAGGATATAATTGATTGAAGGTGATCTACTATAGTTTTATATGGCTTTCTGACTCTTTCAATTAGTCTGTTTTAGAACTATAGTTACTAGAATCCCTAGCCATGGTAACTTGAAAATGTAAGAATGGTAAACGTTGCATATCTGGAGGTATGATGCTGCATCTAGTAAAGTAATATGTAACATTACATTTCACAATGTAGAAATTTCGCAGGCAGAAATCTGGAACATTCTACCTACATTACTTTACAGCAGTAAGGTTTAAAATTTGAAATGGTTTGCCATTTGTATTGATAATGGTTGTGCTAAGTTTTACACTACTTTAAACTTCACATAACTGGTTATTTAAGAATTTTAATTAATATGTTTCTTAGTTTTCTTTTTTTCTTACAGGCTATGCAAATATATTTTGCAATGGGGAAAAAACCTTAGAGATTATGTGCTGTTGCAAATAAATAGCCAGCCCCAATTGTGGGAGGAGATGAAAAATCCAATCACCCCCATTACTTTTTTTGAAATTTAATTCTTATTGAAAACACTTCTACTATTTTGTCCATACTACAAATGTTAACAGCTTGAAATACTAATGGTATGTTCAGAAGAATATCAAGCTACTTCTTGCAGGGCTGGAACAGCTGTTTTGTGCTCAAAATGGGGGCATTTCTGGCTGGAACTATTTCAGATTAGAAATATGTTGCAGGACACTAGAAAAAAAGAGTACAATGGATGTACAAATCCTCATCTACACAATGATAATCTGCATCACAAATATCTGTGTAGGCTATATTGTTCACAAAGTGTAATTTCAATAGGAATGTTATATCTAGCAGTGTGATGGGTCTCTTCATAAATACATGGAAATAATTTCAATTTATTGGAACTATTGCAGTATACAGTCAATTGTCCAAAATATATTTTCTCTGAGCCACTATAATCCTGACTGAAAAAGACTAAAATAGTCTATAAGGAATTTGCTTAATCCACAAGCAAATACTACCCAAATAAAGAATAAGGATCTGATACACTGAGCAATTTAGAAGTGCTATGAAAAACAATCATGCCCTTAAAAATGAAAGTGAAAAGATATTTGCTTGACAATGAACAATGTAGAAGGTAACTTCCTCCTGAATTCCTCTCCCATAAAATTCCTGGAATTGTCTTACATACTTAAATGTTAAAACTAATATTTATTCAATTTTATTTTTAATTAGGAAAAAAAGGATACAACCCTTTCTTATATAGAAACCAGACAATCTTGTAATGAATGCACTGCTGTATATCCAACAATCCAGCAAATGAAAAAGACTGCATAATTTTTGCTTCCAGAAAGTATTTTGTCATGAAAAAACTAACCAAACTTGTTTATATCATAATGGCTCAGATCCATGAAATCTTATTCAATAATAAGCTTATTTCTGTTTTAATAACCACACGATTAGCAAATATTTTAACCAGTCACTGCTATTAGATAATAATATTTGTATGTTCCCAAACAGCATATTAAAATGATCCTTTGATGGAACCATTAAACAATATGCAAACTTTCAAATTCATAAAGAGATAGGACTGGCAGTGCCTATGCTCGAGTAGGTTATTGTATCCTACTCAAGGCTTTGCCTTTTTTTCTTTGGCAAAGATAGGACTCTAATTGGCAAGCCATATGAGTACAAATCCCATGCCGCGCACCAGGCTAACTTCATACTGCAAGGCTCAAAGTCATCTAAGCACGGGAATCAAAACAACTCCCGGCCTTTTCAAGAAAAGGTGCAAACAGACACCCGTTCCGAAAAATGGAGCATCCTCCTAAATTGAGGCAGATCTTCCCTTGTTAAAAGTCACAAGAGCTCAGAAGGGCCACGCTCCTTTTTCGGTTCCTTACAAAGACCAACCTTCAGACTTCCTTACCCTGAGCCCGAACTCACCTCTTGATTCCACGTCGCCGCAGTACCTTGCAGCCAAAGAGCCAACTCTGTCAGAATGTTCAGCTGGACGCGCCCGGCTGCCGAAGTGCTGGAGGAGGGATCCTCGCCAAATTCCTCTTCTCCGGAAGAATCTCCGATGGGGAAAGCGTGGGCTCCAAAGAGCAGCAGGAGGGCAGCAGCGGCCCAAGAACAGCCTGATGAAAGAGACAGAAAAGAGGAAATGGAGTGAGCAGGTCTTTTTCGGTCAAGTTATAGACGCTCCCTTGTCCAATTTGTTTTAAACTTACATCCCGATAGTGCAAGCATAATCTTTAGAATGTAGATCTTTTTTCTTTTTCTTTTTGAAATATGCAAGAAGCTTTGTAGTCTGCGTGGCTGAAGGGCTGAATGAGTGGTGCCACATTTCGAACCTACTGTATTTATTGAAAGGCTCTGGGAAAATCCATGGTTAGTTAACGTAGAGCAGTTTTTTTTAAAAAAATTTTTTATACTACATCGCAGAGGAAGGAAACAGGAATACAGCAAAATCTCGTAAATCGGAATTCTTGGCTTAATTTATGAGACAATTTTTTTTAAAAACCTCATGAATATCCATTGTTTTTTATTCTGGAAGAAAGAACAAGCTTTTGGGATAATATGACAAAAATACTTATTTAAAAATCAAGTTTATTTCAATAAGTTTTGATCTGATCATGCACATTTATAGTGAGCCTCATGGAAGTGTAGGGATGCTTTTAAAGAGACTTAGAATACTTCGTTGTTTAAAGTAGCTGATGATTTTACATGGGACAGAGAAGAATAATGACAGGTTTTTTTTCCCCCCCAAATAAAATAAAATTAAAAACCAAGGAAGATATTTCTACAATGAATACAGTTTGTTTAGTTTCATGAACCCAGACAATTGTGATTTATACATGAATAAAACAAATCAGTTTCATAAGTGAATAGAATATTTTGTTGTCAGAGTAGAGTTGGCTTTAAGATTGGTGTTAGAGGGGCAGGGAAAAGGTTTAGCTCTGTGATTCAATGAAATCCACAAGTGTGTTTTAATTTCTCTGTTCAGTGAATGGCTGCAATTAATTACCTTAGGTTAAAAAGTGTTTTGCAATTTAAAATATTAAATTATGAACAAAACCTCTCTAAATATTGAGCACCACATCACGCTAAATGATACTATAAAGTAATTTCTTTGGTTTAACTTAGTGCAGGAGTGCCACACTCGCATCTTCAAAGTGTCATCACATATCATATTGCAACATTCCTTCCTTCACTAAACTGGCTATGGGCTTGGCCACCATGTGATGTATGCAATCACGGGTCGCAAATTTGGCTTAAAACCCTGGACCCAGATCATTTGTGGATTGCGAATTATAGTGTATGAATTTGCATTATGTGTTAATCAGGTTTGTTTAATGTACTATTGTCAGTTCATCATTCATCCCCATCTATATTTGTAACAATGAAAATAGTACATAGATAAATTGCTGTATATTGTATTTTGATATTCAACTTATTCATTATTGTGAGTTTTTTCTTTTCTTTTTATGTTGTATGCCACCCAGAATCTTTTGGGATTAGGCTAGGTTATAACTACAATAAAATAAAATGAATAAAATAACATTCATCATCCATTAGTTTGAAATCATGACACCTAATATTATCATTCCAACCTTTGACTGTTTTCTGTATTTAAAATGTGACTCTGGCTGGAATGAATTTAAGATGATTCAGCAAATGCTGATTTTATTAGGAACATTTTGCCTAGGATCATTCCAAAATACAAATCTTTGATGACCATAGTGGAACAGAGAATATTGTGCCAAGGTCAGATGCAAGTGGATGGCAAAAACTTCCAATCATAAATATCGCACCTATCTTGGATTCCTATCTGTGTAAGAGGTCAGATTGCCTTGTGTATTGGTAGCTACCAGCCATGCAAAGAGGAAGAGGATCAGGTTGGAAATTAGCTTTGAGTGATGACACAGTTGCAAGAGGCGTATAACTGATTCCCACTTAAGTTCCATGAAACTTTATCTGTTCCCAAAGGAAGGCAAGCAGTTCTATATTATAGGTAGAAAACAATAAAATAGTCAACTTGAACTTTTTGTGTGTGGATCTGGTTATTTACATCTGACTATTTGTTTTTTTATCCTTGAGTCATTGTGATTTTTGGTGACTGCCTGGACAAGTCCCTGAAGATTTTTTGGGTAGGATTTCAGAAGTGGTTTTGCCATTGCCTCCTTCCTAAGATTGAGAGAGAGTGACTGGCCCAAGGTCCCTGGTTAATGGTTTTTTTATTTCTACCCTGACACCTTAACTGTTACACCAAATTGGCTCTTCAGATTGCCCTACTTTCTTCAAATGTAAAAAACTACTCTCCCTTTACAAAATCCTGCTGTGAGAAATAGAGAGACTCAAGCTTTCATAATCAATTACAACTTTTGCAATGGTTGTGGAAGAATTACTGGTTGAAGAAGAGGGAGTCCCTCTAGGGGGAGTAAAGAGACATTTCAGCTTAGAGTTGGTAAAGGGGAGGAAATACCTGAGATCAAACCCTTAGGTCTATATATGCTATTTTCCAAGGGAAGGCAGACAGTCTGGCAAGATTCTTGTAATATAGGTGATCAGCAATAAAATATCTACTTGGACCTATTCACAATGGTTACATTAGCCAGGAGACTACAATGCTGTTTTAAAATAGTTGTTTGGCAGTCAACAATTGCCAGTCTGTCCTGCTCACGCTTGTGTGCTATCCAGAGTATATCACTGGGGGGCAGATTAGCTCCATACTCAGACTTGAGGGCATTCTGCATCATAATCTGGGGCTTTCCCCACCACCAATGACATGTCACATTTGGGCAGATTCAACACTGGTTGAATTTATACTGCCACTCAAAGCTCTGTTTACCTCCCCCCCACTGAAGTGGTACCTATTTATCTATTTACATGTAACATGCTTTCAAACTGCTAGGTTGGCAGAAGCTGAGGCAAGTGATGGGAGCTCACTATGTCATGCGTAGGATTCGAACTGCTGGAGTAAAGACCATCTCCAGTTTCTTTAAGTCACTGAGCACCTAGCCTTGTGAAGCTTGACATTGCCTGACAATGGCAGTTAAAGCATACAAAGCCATGTCATTCTGAAAAGGATTAATTAATATTTACATGCTGTTATCTTAGCATTATACCAAGGGTATAGAGCTCAGTTACTTGAAAATTATCATATATAGAAGATACATTGCTTCAGCCTACAAAATGTACTAAGACAGTTTTCCTCAACATGATCACATTCCAGTTGTGTGCGTTCCAGTTCCATAAGGCCCAACAAGGAATATGTTGATGGGAGTTAAGTCCACATATCTCAAGGGACCACATTTGGGGAATGTAGGCATTATTATTTTTACTATCATTTATTGAACAAGGCTTAAAGCTTAGTTCCTACATTCCAAATTACAGTGCATACTTCGGTACTGAAAAAAAACCCCACCACATTGACTCTATTACTTAATGTGATATAGCAAATTGTTAGTCAACTTTCACTCACAATTTATTCTCTCTGTATGAATGTAGTATTTTAGTATAAACTAACTGACATCAAGAAAACCTTCAGTATCTAACATATAAAATACTAAACAATATATTGCTTTTTAATTTAATAGAACTGACCTCTTAATTGGCTTATGAAAAACTCCTGAAACACATCCTTTTAATCAGATTTTAAGTGTTGTTTTAATGGTTATTTACTGATTATTTTAATAGAGTGATTTTAAATTGATTTATTGGGAACTATCGAGAGTTAGGTGATGCTACAATATGTTTAATAAGTTCAGTATAAAAATAATATGGTTGGATGTCATAAAACTTAAAAAGGTGTCATAATATATTTTATTTTATTTTATTATTTTGTTTTATTTGTCTTTTGTCTTTTATATTTTTAACTTTTCTTAATCACCCTGCATCATCGGGTTGGTGAACAATTATATAAATTGAATGAACATACAAATAATGTGGTATTTTTTATTTTGATTGAGTTGCTGATTTATAATTTAGTGTATTATGCATATTCAACAAATAGGAACCTCCAACATTGCAGAAAGACACTTTAGGCAGATCTGGTGTTGGAGAATCTCTGCCAATAAAAGTCCATTATCAGCAACATTTTGTTGAGTTTCACGGAATTAGGATAACCTATTCTTCCTGGCCAAAGTACAAATAGTCCTGACTTGGATCCTTAGATTGGACACACCTTGAAAGAACTGGCATTTCATATGCAAATAGCCAGTGTTGCCCATTTTGCTTGTACCTACAAAAATGCCTGAAAATATAATTGTTGGGTATATTTCATACCTACTGTATATTTGTATATTTTTAATGTGTTGTTTAAAGCACTCTGCCTCAACTTGGTATCCTTCAGATATGTGGCTTTGTTAGTTAGGGTTGGGCTGAGTATTCTAATATGTCTGTAAAGCAGAAAATTAGAAAAAGTTGTTCCAAAACCTTTTTTAATAGAAGGTACTGTTGTTTGCAAGTGACAAATTGAGATACTTCTACATTTCCAATGTTGTATTTCATTCCTAATCTCTCAAAAGCAGCTTTAAAATGACCTTCAGCATCATGCTAAAAATACTGAAAAAGGAGTAGAACCTATTGTCATGGACCCAGGCTCTGCACATCCTACAGTAAAAATCTCATCCTTTCTCCATGCAAAAGCCCTCTTGACCTGAGTTCCTCAGGGAGGTATGTGAAATTGTTAAGCCTGTATTTCTTTTATGGGAGTTGCTACAAGGCCCAAAGCTCAAGAATTGGGGAGGATGTAAACTTTTCTTCTAATGGTGGGAGGAATTCTTTAGAGCTCCAAGGTTTCCAAATAAAGCCAGCCTTGGAACAGTTCTTCCTACACTGCCCTGTAGCCAGAAATAAATTGGTGTTGATGCCAGACACGGTAATAAAATTTTGTTAATTGTATGTCCATGACCCAAAGTGATCATGCATATCAACTTGATGAAAAACAGGGTTGCAAGCCTAATTCCAATCTTTGATGTATCTTTTGAACTTGGAATCATATAACAACTGAACTCCCTATCTTTATTTTAGTTTTTCTGATGTAACAAAATAGGAGTTTTGCTTTTATTGCATGAAACATATTTGGTTCCCCTCTCTCGTCACTTGAATAGAAGAAGAATGGAAATTTGTAAAATGCCCTTTTTCTTCCCCTTTTTCTTTCATTTGATTAGATATTGCTGTAAAGCATCTATCTAAAGCATAGTAGATGATTTAGAGCAACATACTACCAGATATGCAAATAAATCACACACACAGTGACTTAATGGGGAACTCTCTGGAGGAACTGCAAGGATTTGCTGCATATTAAATTAACTGAATTAGAGTCAATTTGTATTTTTATTC